AGTATGTCTTACAATTTGAAATTTGCTACATAAAGGTAAGATGTGTGGGGGATTAATATATAAAAACACTATTTACTAAGTTTTTGTATTTAAATGATGTGTTTAATGTTTAGTTTTTTGTTTTTTAGTTCTTGTTTTTTAGTTCTTTGTTTTAGTTCTTTTCATTTTTGGAAAATGGGTTTATCAAAACCCTTTAGTCTAACAGAAGTGAGCGTCTTTGGCATACCAGATACAAGATCAACTACAGATTCGCTGAGAAAGGAAAAGGAAATACAAGACTAAATTCCTAAAAGCTCTCACAGGCAAGGTTTTCTTGAAGATGTAGTTTAAAATCTTGCTAAATTCTAGAAAAATCCTGACTCAAGATTATATAAATTGGCATTTCAATTCTTTGGTGTGTGTAAACTTGGGGAATTTGGGAAAAATCTTTGCTGTTTTAAAGAACTAATAATAAAAGATGAAGCCTAATGGAATGGTATGTGCCATTATAAATCCAGAAAAAAAATGCAAAGCACCCTATACTCTCATAATGAAGGGTAAATTGTTGCTTACCTTTGAATGATTGTACTAGGACCTAGTAAAGTGGGAAGTTTAACTCATGAATTATAATTCAATTGGAGCTCTATTGATATTTCAATTAAATCTAGTCTTATTGGGAAATTTATTTGTTAATGCTTATTTGAAAAAGAAAAAAATGTAATTATTGAAATACATTTTGTTACAGAACTGACTTACAGACCTAACTATATACTTAGTCATCTGAGTGGTCAGATTTCAAAGACCTTTTGTGGAATTTTCTGTTTGTCATTTTTCTTCAGGAAATACTGCAGAGATCTTAGCAAGGTTTAAAATGGGGCTTATTTGAAAATAATGAGAAAACTGGTGTGTTAGTTCATTTAATTTATACTGATGTATTTAGCAAAAGATTGCTAACTTAGAACCTTTGTATCTGTTCTAAGTCAGACTTAGCAAACAGGAAGCCATATAGGTTTGCCTTGTTTCTTTAAAAGCAGGCCTTCTGAACAGATAGATCCTAGGCTGGAGTCAAGAAGGCTTGATTCAACATCTTTGTCAGGAACTCAGACAATTTGTTTTCTAGACAACAGTGTGGGTCCACACTAGTCATTTGAAAGCTGTCCTTTACCGTTTTAAGACTCCAGGTTTTTGTAGGATGAATTCTCAAACTCTGGGGATGGGCACCTCATGTTAAACACGTGCAAATGTTAAGTAATCTCTACCTCCATTACTAAATCAGTTCCCAAGAAATGCTTGTGTGTTTCTTGATTTTCCCTATCCTCTTTCCTTGTCACCTCCTAAAGTTCAGTCATTTATTAAACCCTGTACTGCATCACTCCAAAATCTATTTTTATAAATATTATTATTAATTATAATTATTATTTGGTACGTTTTATATTCCCATCATGATGTCTTTTATTAAAACTCTTATCATGCATCTCTTGAATTGCCTCTGATGCCTTGTAACTCTCTCACATCTTCCTAGCATTTCTTTCTTTTTTTTTTTTTTTAACGTTTATTTATTTTTGAGACAGAGAGAGACAGAGCATGAACGGGGGAGGGTCAGAGAGAGAGGGAGACACAGAATCCGAAACAGGCTCCAGGCTCTGAGCTGTCAGCCCAGAGCCCGACGCCGGGCTTGAACTCACTGACCACGAGATCATGACCTGAGCCGAAGTTGGCCGCTTAACCGACTGAGCCACCCAGGCGCCCCTCTTCCTAGCATTTCTTAAAGGTCGGTTTCCTTTCTCTATAACAGGCAGTTGCATATTTAAAACTCTAAATCAGTCAATATCAGGTGATATATGCAACCCAATAAGCTTCCATTGCCAATGGATCATAACGAAGCTGCTTAAAGAGATACAGGGTTGTTCTTTATCCCTGCTCTCTCTCCAACTTCATTTCCTCTCACTGCCCTCCTAACATTGAATGCTGCCATGAGGACCATAATTGTTTATTTGTGATTTCATGTGGTTTTCTCTGGTCTGCTTTTCCCCTAAGTTATGTCATTAACGCGTAATACTTCTTTAGGACTCAAATCAGATACTCTCTCTCAAAATCAAATTGTTCTTTTTTTTTTTTTTTTTTTTTTTTTTTTTTTTTTTTTTTTAATTTTTTTTTTTCAACGTTTATTTATTTTTGGGACAGAGAGAAACAGAGGATGAACGGGGGAGGGGCAGAGAGAGAGGGAGACACAGAATCGGAAACAGGCTCCAGGCTCTGAGCCATCAGCCCAGAGCCTGACGCGGGGCTCGAACCCACGGACCCCGAGATCGTGACCTGGCTGAAGTCGGACGCTTAACCGACTGCGCCACCCAGGCGCCCCAAAATCAAATTGTTCTTAACCTCCTCCCTAGGTCAACCCACACCAGAATTTGATTTTGTGGTTCGCTTTCAAGTTGCACATCCCTGTCATTGCTCTTACACTATTGTAATTATTTCCATTTTTTTCCTCATGTCAAACCACTGTATTCCAGTGATTGTCTCTCTTCACTGTATAACAGAAATCTGGGCACCTTATAAAATCTTCATAATTATGTTTAGTGAATCAATTAATGCATATCAAACAACACACATTTGATTAAGTCTCGTGCTTTTACTTCTTGTACCTCTCATAGGTCTGGAGGAAACGTTTGGTATAAGTTATAAGTTGTTAGTCATAATTGGGTGATGAATTAATGAATGATATAATGACTAGTTATATTTGATATTTCAACCTCTGGCATGGTGATATAGTTTAATATGATTTATGTTAAATCTCACCAAGGGACATTTATTTTTACCAGAGGAAATCTGCAGATTAAATTATTTATTTAAAAAGAATGAAACTGAATGCAAGAACTGGGGCGGAGGACTAGAGATGTTATGTGGGGAACGTTTGATTTTGTGCTAGGTATAATATGGGTGGGAATGTAATAACTCCTCAGAATAAGTAGTAACAAATATCATTAAATACCTGTTGATGATAAGACTATGATTTTTAGAAAATTTTCTGTGATGATAGAATGCAATAATGTGGATATGAGAAAAAGATATATGCAATGCCAAGATTCAGCAACCTAGTTCTGAAAGCTAAACTTGAGATAAACTCTAAGCTTGCAGGGTTTGTGACTGAGATAGAAACAACCCCACCATCCTTCCAAATCTTGTACGTTAATGAAGATATTTTTTCAGACGCATTTAAAAATGGAGAATCTGAATGACTCACTTAGAGGCCCATTGGCCCTTTCAATCAGAGCCCCAAGTGTCCTGCATTCTGAAAGTGTGTGACAAGATAAACGGACTTCAAATAGCCCAGATGTGAGAATTTCCTGTTCAAACCTTAATTGACGCATTGATGGGAAATCTCTTTTTTCCCATGCTTGCTTCACTCTGGGATTTTCCAGGGCAATCTGTGAAGGTCACAGAAAATATGTATTCTTGTCCTGGATTTGGGTTGTCAAGTTTCTCCTTTTATACCCCCGCTATAGCAGGCCTCTATGAGAGTAACCTGGCCTTCCCCCAAAAGGATCCACAGCTTTCTGGCCAACAGAAGGGATGGTCATTATCTTCTTTTCTCTCCATTAGCCACCTCATTCAGGGGGAGATTACAAATGCTAGATGGGGTGCACTGGAGGCACAACTAATATATAATCAAATTATGGAGAATATTGGTGTTTTTCTTTCAATAATTCAGCATAAAAAATATCTGTAAAGTATAAAAATATTTCTTAAAATATTCAAGTTATTGCCTGTAGAAAATTAGCTGAATACATATACACACTCATATTTGGGTTTGTAAATCAATATAATTTAAAGTGAAACCCACAAACATCATAAGGAGCATTTAATTTTGGATTTTATAATCAGTACAAGGTGTTTTTTATATACTAATATGTTGAATTATATCTCGTTCAACCTTTGTAAATAAATTCTTGCAAAGAAGTTTGCTGCATGATAAAGGCCAAACTTAATTCCTTCTACACTTATGTGGATTGAATAAAAGCACCTTGATTTTTTTAATAAAAATCAGGATGTATTGCTTCTGTAAAATGCTAATTTAAGCTTAATAATAGACAAAGAACTTAAAAAAATGAACAAACATTGCAAACAAAGTGTATCATCCTGGTTAAAGAGATTCTACTTAATAAACCATTTTATAGAATTTGATATGAATCTGAAATAATAACACGGACTTGTAACTAATAATTAAAATAGCTAATATTTATTGAGAGCTTATCAAATCTGCAGGAAGAAAAATCAAACGCTGAGAAAAGATGGATGAACACAATTGTTTAGCACTCAATTCCAGTTGAGTGCTAAGTGTTACAAGCATTATATTTTATGAGTGCTAAGTGTTACAAGCATTATATTTTACACGTTCTTATTACCATTTTAGATTAGTAAACTAAGATCCTAGATACTAAGTAACTTTTCAAAGGTCACACATTATATGTTTCAAGGCCAGAATTAATTCCAAATCTTTTTGACTGAGAGCCCATTGATTGAATTATTAAATTATATTATCTGGATTATTACAATTACTTGTACAGTTGGCCCTTGGAAAACATGGGTTTGAACTAGATATGTCCACTTACACACATTTTTTTTTAACAATACAGCATCATAAATGTATTTTTTCTTCTTTAAGGGATATGTGAGGTGAAGAGAAATTCCAGGGAGCTCACCGCCGTGTCATTCCTCAGGTCTTGAGGGCTGGGATCTGCCAGCTTTCTCATTACCTTTCTGAATCTTCTCATGTTGTCTTATTATATATAATGCCCAGGAGTTCTAGCTATATTTAGTGGGATGAATAAGGAAAAGTCTGTTTCTTTAAGAAATTTAGAACTAGATCTTTAGATTTTTCAGTTTCAAATGAACACTAATTCTCACCTGCCACCCTCCCCCCAGTTTTGTAGAACTAGGTATCTCTGCATTAGATGTACTATTTATTGTCAAGTACTCTTATCTTGGACCACAGTCCCTGACTTTGCTTAGCTGTAGAGATGAATAACCAAAGAGTAACTTATGCAGAATTGAATGTGTCTAAATACTCAAAGAGGCAGCAAATAAAACCTAAGGGCACTAAAACTTCCATTTTGATAACTGAGCAGGAAATAACCTATGCAGAACTAAACCCTCAAAATGCTTCTCAGGATCTTCAAGGGAATGATAAGAACTAACACTGCAAAGGTAAACCATTTAATAGACACAAGAGTATAACTATTCTAGCATGTGCAGTTGGGGTGCCAAGTTATGGGGTAAGCATAGAGAATAAGTTCACATATTTTTCATTTGAGAGGATCAGAGCTTAAAGTTGGAATACGGTATTCTGATTGAAATCTGAGGACTAACTTTGTTCAGGCGTTGTTATACTTCCTCATCTTTACCAACATCTCATGGAGCATTATGCAATGGCATATTTTAAGAGAAGATTACAATGGTGGATATGAGTTTGGAGTCCAAGTTTATATATATGATATCTTTTGCATATGGGTTCTTTTTCTAAACAATTGTGTTCATCCATCTTTTCTCAGTGTTTGATTTTTCTTCCTGCAGATTTACCATCATCTCTGAAGAAGCTCAAGGCTGGGATCCTAGGAATCATCCGCCTTATCTTGATAGCCACTGTGGGTAACTGATAGCTGTTATTCCCTGTAAGTCATTTTTGAAAGATGATAAAGGAACTTTTCACTTTAATGATTGTCAGTGCCTCTAAATATTTCACAATATTACACAATAGAACTTACATTTTAATGTATTTTTTTGGACTAAAAGTATTCTGAATTTTTCCTAGGTATAATAACAGAATGACCATTGAGAAAATCATATATATGAGAATATTATATATATATATATATATATATATATATATATATATAATGACTCAAAGACATGCTTTAGGGGACTGAAAGACCTTTGTGAAAAATACAAATTAATTTCTGAGATTGGCTAAAAATTATATTGTAAGGGATGGTGAAGTTTGGTCCTTTGGGCTTTTGAAATATTTTCCCTCCACATCTTCATTTCTTTATTAATTTTTCTTTGAAATATCTATTTTATTTCAGATCATTCTAATCTAAAACAATACATCAAATATCAAACTAAGAAACTAAAATTATTAAGATCTATTTAGATGAGTATTAATTTTTATGAGGACTACTTTAATTTTTTTAGGTACTGTAATACCAGAGCAGAATAATTCTTCCCTGGTAACAAGGATCTATAAACATATACAATGATTTTCAAAGTTCTGATATTAGTAAAGTTTATATTTTGTGTTCATCTTAGGGTAGACAAAATGATAAATTTTTTTGAGGGAATGTAAATTATAAAATTAGGCAATCCATGTTCATAAATACTGATTAGAGAAAACTATTTCCTCTTCACTAACAATGTGAAGAAATATTCATTTAAAATTATTATATCCATTGTTGCCAATTGGCTCAAATTTCTTCCTTCCCATTATAAGTGATAAAAAATTTACTATTCTAAAAATGTGATTTTGTTCAATGACTTTCAGGACAAGAATAGATGGGTATTTTTGTTTATTTCCTTTATATGGACACATAAAGTAGGGGATACGAGACTAACCCTTCTCTGTGAGTGTGTGTGAATGTGTTTTGTTGTATATTACCAGCTTATGAGTGTGCATAGCTATGTTATGTACATGTAATGTTTATAACTATTACAAATAGGTAAATTAATTTTCATTTCAAAAATTCAAACTGTTTTGGATGATAATTTATAATCTTTCCTCAGTGTATCATTGTAGTTATTGTCCAAAAGAGTGGTTAACGTGTCCCAACAATTTTTATTACTTTAATTTTGAAGAAAAAAAACACAACACACATGGAATGAGAGTTTGAAGACCTGTGCTTCTAAGAGCTCTAACCTGCTCTACATCGATGATGAAGAGATAATAGTAAGATTTCAAATGTTTCCAGCATTTTGTTAAAAACTTGTTTCAGTCAATATTATATTTTTGGTGTATATTTGCAGTTTATTATTTAAAAGCCTATTAATATTCCATTATTTGACTTCATGATATTTTATTTATATATTTTTTACTATTGATGCATGTTTGATAATTTCCAGTTCTTCCTTTTTATAGAAAACCATGCTTCTGTAATTTTTTTTTGTCTAAAATAAACTTTGCTATTTAATTGACCAGCCATCAAAGAAACTAAACATGATTACGCAGACTGATGCAAAAGTGAATTGAAGCATGTAATTATGAATCAGATCATGAACAGGACTTCCCCTCTCCAGCAGCCCTGCTCCTGCTTCTTTGTATTCTCTTATCATTCCTCCTCCTCCTTCCTTTTCAACCACTGTCCTGACTTTTTGTCTCTTGGTTTGGTTTTGAACTTCATATACATGGAGTCACGCAGCATGCATTTTTGTTCCTCTTTTCATTCCCGTATGCTATTTCTTGGAATTCACCAATATTATCCCATTTATCTATAGTGTGTTAACTCTTCTAAACTGTGTGAATATAACATTTTAAAATACATTCTGCTGATGTGTCTTGGGAGTGAGGATGTGAGTCTTATGCCCACAAGAATACAAAGGTTTCCTGGGTCTAGTATTTTTATCATGGGATGTCTTTCGCTGGTCCTACCTCTCTCTGGTAGGATTAGTGATTTCCAAGGGCTAAGGGGAGGTAGGATAGGAAACAACTGTTAATCAGTACAGTGTTTCCTTCTGGGGTGATGAAATTTTCTGGAGTTGAATAGTGCTGATGTTTGCAAGCCGTGTGAATATATTAAAATTCATTGATTAATCACTTCAAATGGATGAATGTTATGCTGTGTAAATGAAACCTCAATAAAGCTGTTAAAAATAAACTCCTGAAATTGTGTTTGCATTTAATCTTTAATCTGTAAAGATTAGTCATTTTTACAATATTGCCTCTTCTGATTTGTATCGTGTTAGATCCTTCCATTAAATAGGTTTTCTTTAATTTCTTCCTATTATAGTTTGTATGTTTCTATACTGAAGTCTTACAGAAATATGAGTATTTCAGTTATGCTTTTGTAAATGGCATCCTTATTTTTAAATTTTTAGAAGCTTTTGCTATTGTAAATAGAAATACAATTGAAGTTTACATGTTGGTATTATATAGAACGACTTTACTGATTTTATGTATTAATTCTACCATTTCAAATAAATGTTCTTCTGGGTGTTTTATATACACAAGCTATTTCAGCTGTAAATAATCACAGTTTTATTTCTTCTTTCCAGGTGTAATTATGTATTTTTTTCTTGACTTATTTTAACAGGCTAGGGTTTTATTTCCAATGTTGAATAGAAGATACAGTAAATGTTCTATATGCAGCATTCCTTAAGTTAGGGGTTAATATTTCAATATTTTATCTTCAAGTATGAGGTTTGTTTTAAGGTTTCTTTGTTTAAATCACACTTTTCTCATGTTAAAGCAATTCCATAATATTCCTTTTTTTTCTCACAGATTTTATAATCGGTTACATTTATATTATTTTTCCATCAATTGGAATGATGTTTTCTCTGTATAGTACTTATAAAGTAATTAAATTATTCTTTAAAATATTAAAGTCATCTTACACTTCTGAAATAAAACCACAAGGATAATTCTGTATTGTTATTTTTTAAAAAATCAGTGCATATATTATACTAAACTAGTCACATTTACATAGAAATGTGCCATTTCCAGGGGCGCCTGGGTGGCGCAGTCGGTTAAGCGTCCGACTTCAGCCAGGTCACGATCTCGCTGTCCAGAGTTCGAGTCTCATGGCCGGGTTCTGGGCTGATGGGCTCGGAGCCTGGAGCCTGTTTCCGGCCCCAGGCTCTCTCTCCCCCCTCCCTGCTCATGCCTGTCTCTCTCTGTAAATAAATAAACGCTGGAAAATGTAGGTTTGATCTGAATAGGGGTCCAGAAATCCGGGCATTTCCTATTAAAAAAAAAAAAAAAAAAAAAAAGAAATGTGCCATTTCCAGCTTCACAGAAAATTCTCTAACTATAGTTTACTTAAAATAGAAGTCAGTAACCAAAAATCTGAAGATCCTTCTATAGTTTTAAATTTAGTAATATATTCATCATCATTAGCTAAAGAAATGAATATCTACAAATGAATATTTTATATGAAGTACAAGGAAAACATAACAGCAAAAATCTGTCTTGTGAGATATAATAGTGTATAAGAATTTTTTCTTCAAATCTATATTCACAAAGAGATTAGACTGAGTTTTCATTGATAGCTGTTTTCCATATTATATTGGAAGCCATATCCTCCCCAGAGCCCGGTATTTTATATCCATATAGGTAAACTCCTCAACCTCTCTTTGTGCAAGAGCAATCGGCTATAAGTATATATATTACATATATTATTACATATTATTATATATGATTATTCCACATATCATCTATTATATATTACTATTGACATTACATATATATTATATTTTATATTATATATAAATCTATATTACATATATATATGCATATAAAAGGTAATATATATACATATATATTATAATAGACATGCATATGCGTAATATAATATGTATTAGAGTATAATATAATACATATAATACGTATTTCAGATTACTATATATATTATTATATACATACATTACATATATTATTACATTGCCATATTGATCACATCCAATGGTAGGTCATCGAAGGATGTCAATATATTTATATTACATATAAATTTATATTACATATAAAATGTACATATGTACACTACATATACATATCTATATTATATATAAATATAATATACATGTAATATAAACATTTTAATTGTGCTTATAGCCGACATATATTAGTTTCAGGTGTTTGATATAGTGATTTGACAATTCTGTATATTACTCAATGCTCATGATGATAAGTGTAGTTACTCTCTGTCACCATACAAAGTTATTACAACATTATTGACTATATTCTCTATGCTGTACTTTTCATCCCTGTGACTTATTTATTTTGTAACTGGAATTTCTGTACCCCTTAATCTTCTTTACCTATTTTGTCCTATCCACCCCCACCAAGCAACCACCAGCTTGTTCTGTGCATTTCTGATTTCTTTTTGGTTGTACAACTGTTTTATTTTAGATTCCACATCTAAGTAAAATGTATGGTGTGTTTGTCTTACTCTGACCTATTTCACTTAGCATAATATCCTCTAGGTGTATTGATGTTGTTGTAAATGGCAAGATTATATAATATATATATATTTATATATGTAAAGGCTATATATATATATGTATGTAAATGTTTTATATATATATATGTAAAGGTTATATATATATTAAAGATTATATATATGTAAAGATTATACGTGTATATATACATTATATAAAGATTATATATATGTAAAGATTATATGTGTATATATACATTATATAAAGATTATATGTGTATATATATAAAGATTATATATATGTAAAGATTATATGTGTATATATAATCTTTACATATATATAATATATATAATCTTTACATATATAATACATATAGTATATTATATATAATATAATACTATAATAATCTTTATATATATATAACATTTTCTTTATCTATTCATCTATTTTAGACATCTATACTGCCTCCATATTTAGGCTATTGTAAATGATGCCACAATAAACATACAGGTGCTTATATCTTTGGAATAAAGGTTTTCATTTTTTTTGGATAAATAACCAGAAGAAGAATTTCTGGGTGTTACAGCATTTCTATCTTTAATTTTTTGAGGAACTGCATATTGTTTTCCATAGTGGCTGCAACAATATGATTATGTTATATTTTTAAGTGTCATTATTCACTACTAATGCCATCTGAGTTTACAGATTTTTTTTGTATGAAGGTTTATATAATGAATTCAGTTACTTTAATACATGTTTCAAATTAAAGAACAAGACAACATCTCAGAAAAAGATCAAAATGAAGTGGAGGTAAACAATCTACCTGATAAGAAGTTCAAAGTAATGGTGAAAGAGATGCTCACCAAGCTCTGGAGAAGAAAAGATGAGCACAGTCAAATTTCAAAAAAAAAAATGGAACATATAAAAAAATCAATCAGAACTGAAGTGTATGATAACTAAAACTTAAAAATACACTAGAAGGAATCAACAGAAAATTAGGTGATGTAGAAGAAGGGATCAGTGATCTGGAAGATGGGGTAGTGGAAATCATAGAAGCAGAAGAATTTTTAAAAATGAGAATAAGAAAATTCTGGACAACATCAAGTTTACTAATATTTGCATTGCAAGAATCCCAGAAGAAGAAAATAGAAAAAGCAAAAGCACTTACTTGAATAAATAATAGCAGAAAACTATACTGACTTGGGGAGGCAAACAGATATCTGGGTCTAAGAAGCACAGAAAACTCCAAACAAGATGAATGCAAAGTGGTCCACAACAAGACACATACTAACTAAAATGGCAAAAATTAAATACAGAGAATCTTAAAATCTGAAAGAGAAAATTAACTAGTTATATACAGGAGAAGCCCCATAAAACTGTCAGCTGAATTTTCAGCAGAAACTTTATAGGTCAGAAAGAATTGGCATTGTATACTCAAAATGCTGAAAAGGAAAAGCCTAAACCAAGAATTCTCCACTGGCAAGATTATTCAGATTTGAGAAATAAAAGGTTTCACAGACCAACAAAAGTTGAAAGAGTTCATGACATCTAAACTGGACTTACAAGAATGTTAAAAAAACTTTTTAAGGAAAAAGAAAAAGTCATAAATAGAAGTGTGAAAGTTATAAAAGAAGAAATCTCACTGGCAAAAACCAAGCATATATTAAAGGTCATGGATCAACCACTTATAAAGCTAATATGAAGATTAAAAGGCCAAAGTGGAAATATCAACTAAACATAATTGTTTAAATGACACACAATGTAAAAAGAAGTAATACATTGTGTCAAAAGCACAAACTATGTTGGGGGAGGGTAGAAAAAATGTAATGCTTACAGAATGTGTTTGAACCTAAGCAACTATTAACTTAAAATAGACTGTTATGTACATGTGTTATATCTATGAAACTTACTGGAACCACAAACCAAAATCTTACTATAGTCACACACACAAAATACAGAAAGGAGTCAGAACATAACACTAAAGAAAGTCATCAAAACACAAGAGAAGAAAGCAAAACACAACACACCCTCAAACCAAAAAATAAACAAGCAAACAAACAAACAAACAAAAAAAAAAACAGAAAAAAAGTACAAAACAACCAGGAAACAATTAACAAAATGGCAGTAAGTTCATACCTATCAATAATTACTTTAAATGTAAATGAACTAAATGCTTCAATCAAAGGACTGAATAGTGACTGACTGGATAAGAAACAAAACCCATCTATATGCCCTCTACAAGAAACTCATTTCAGACCTAAAGACACATACTGACTAACAGAGAAAAGATGGAAAAAAATATCCCATTTCACATGGAAATAAAAAGAAAGGTAGGGTAGCAGTACCTATATCAGACAAAATAGATTTTAAACAAAACTGTAACAAGAAAGGAAGAAGGGCATTACATAATGATAAAGGGAAAAATCCAACCGGAGGATAGAACAATTGTAAATATATATGCAGTCAACATAGGAGTACCTAAACAAATAAAGCAAATATTAAGAGACACAGGGGAGAAATTGACAGTAATGAAGTAATAGTAGGAGACACTAACACCTCTCTTGAATCAGTAGGTAGACTATCAAAACAGAAAATCAATAAGGAAAGAGAGGCACATTAGACTAGATGAACTTAATACATATGTACAGAACATTACATCCCAAATCAGCAGAGTGCACATTCTTTTTAAGTGCACTTGGAACATTTTGCAGAATAGATTTCATGTCAGGTCACAGAACAAGTCTCATTAAATTAAAGAAGACTGAAATCATATCATGCATCTTTTCTGAGCATCAAGGTATGAATCGAGAAATCAATTACAAGAAAAAAATTTGCTAAAACTCAAACATGTGGAGGCTAAACAACATGTTACTAACCAAAAAATGGTTCGATGAAGAAATCAATGAGAAAATAAAAAATTCCTGGAGAAAAATGGAAAGTAAATAATAATGTCTCAAAATCTCTGAGACACATCTAAATCAGTTTAAAGAGAAAAGTTAACAATGATACAGGCCTATCTCAATAAATAAGAAAAAATCTAAAATAAACAGTCTATCTTTATATCTAAGGGAATTAGGAAAAGATATCTATCTATTTATATATGTACATACACACATATCTATTAAATATACTAGAAGGAAATATATGAAAAAGTAATATATGAAGAAGATGAGAATGGAAATAATTGAAACATAGACTATAAACACCACAGAGATGATCAAGGAAACTAAGAGCTACTTCTTTGGAAAAATATAGAAAATTAGAAAATCTTTAGCTAGAATCATCAAGAAAAAAAGAGTGAGGGCCCAAATAAATACATTCACAAAAATGAAAGGGATAAATTACAACAGACAC